ACAAGGGACCCCAGGGAGCTTCCAGTGGCAGCTTGGTCATCACTGGGCTGGATGCAGATGTCAGTGGGGGTGTGACTAAGGCCCTTGGCCCCCCACCATCCCAGCTTGGGAACCCAGGGCACTTTTGGCAGCAGCTTGGTGGTCGTTGCTGGGTTAGGTGCAGATGTCAGGGGGTGTGGCTGAGGCCCTCGTCACCCCCCACTCTGGCTTGAGAGCCCAGGGGGCTTCTGGTCCTTCTTGGTTTTATAGGTGTTCCTTGGTAGTGTTAGACCTTTACTGGTTAATATCAGAACTTTGTCTCTGATCTGTGGGTTTTTTGTTTTTTCTTTCAGTTCTCTTTTGAATTATTTGCTGTTCCCACCACTTAAACTCTGCACTGGAACTAGTTTGTTGTCCTTTTCTTACTTCTAAAATGGGGAACTTCCTGTGGGGACCAGCACTTAAGCCCTGTGTTTGAGCTAAATTGCTGCTTTGCTGCTGATTCTTTGGGGAAAGCTTTGTGTGCAGCTCAGGTTCTTTTTTTTTTTTTTTTCCTTTTTGTCTTTTTTCGTGACCGGCAACGGGATCGCAACCCTCGGTGTTGCGCCTGCACCTCGCTCAGCCAGTGAGCGGCCGGTCTGTACGTGGAATCTGAACCCTCGGTGGGAGTGCCACCGCACTCCCAAGCGGCACACTGTAGCAGTGCGCCACCGGGCCGGCCCCAGCTCAGGTTTTTATTGTTGACCTTGTAAGCAATTCCAGGTCTTGTGAGGTCCAATACATCTGGGTTGTGTGGAAACTCTGGTCTGGGCCTGAGTCTTTTCAGCAAACTGGACCCCTTGCAGTTCTATATTCCTGAACAGTCTCCACTGAGTGGTCCTGTGCTGACTGGGGTGCAGATCAGCTGTCCATGCTGTGCCCCAGTGTTCCCCTGGTGGGCCCGTCTCCCCCACCGCTTGCGCTCCAAGCACTTCCCATGGGGTTGGCCATGCCATGCACCAGTTCCTTGTGATGACTCACCAGCCTCTGAGTGGCTCCTTTCTTCAGTTGTCTGTGGCCCCTCGCTCCTATGTGGGTCCACGGAAACCCTGTTAGTGGTCTTGCTGGCCTGGGGGCCACCAAGGCCCTCTTCTCCCGTCACCTCCAAGCAACTTCATATGAAGGACACAGCAGTGGCTTTTGCCAGCTCTTGTTCCGTGTGCTCACCAGGGCCAGACTTGAAGTGGCCGAGACTCGAAACAGTTGGAGTGGTCCTCATCGTGGCTTCTCCCACCTTCATGAACTCTGTAGGTTTCTCCTCTTCCCCTGATCTCTGGGCTTACTTTTGATTTATGAGTGCTATTATGAAATATCCTCTAAGAGAGGGTTATGCATATTGAAAAGAATGCCTTTCTTGTACTGTGATTTTAAGCACTATGGTGCCTGGTTGGAGGAACAATTTTTAGTCTTTTTTTCCCCATTTATCTAGCAAATATTTGTTGTACAGCACCATATGCCAGGTGTTGTGCTAGATGGTGAAAACTCAATAACATGGTTCCTGCCCTCAGAGACTCACAGTCCAGTGGGGGACATGGATAAGAAACAAGGTGATTCCAAAACAAAGTGCTGGGAGCTATGATAGGGAATGTGCTGACTGTCCTGGGAACCCAGAGGAGGAGGTCCTGCCATGTGGGGAATTCAGGGCAGGTCTTTGAGTTGGCTTTCCAGAATGAGTAGGAGTTAGCAGGGCAGAGGAGCTGAAGGGCATTGTAAGCTAGGGCTCTGAAGCTGAAGTCAGCAAGGCCTGGAGAACAGGATGTGGGCAGAGTGGTGGTGATTGCCCTACAGCAGACCCCACCATGTTCCTGCAGGTGCACCCCTTGGCTTGTTTTCCTGTCTCCCTCACCTGGCATTGCCAAGACCGTGAGGGCAAGAACAGAGTCTGAGTCACAGGCACAATGACTGACACACGTGGCTGAATGAATAAATAATCCAGTGTACTGGGAAATAGGGTGCTGGAGGCCATGGTGAGGGGATGTGGAAGTTGTTCTGTAAGACACCCTCCATGTCAAGTGAGGGGGCATTCTCTGAGCTTCATCTCTGGACATCATTCATATCATAATATTGAATAAATCAGGCAGAGGACAGGGGATTGGCATATGCATTTTATAGAGGGGAAGGCTAAGCCTCAATAGTAGACATTTAGTAAATGTCAAATCAGATGGAATGCTCTTTCCCCAGACTCCGCAACGTCCTGGACCAAACCTTCCTAGCTGTCCCAGTTCACGAGCATACCAGTGAGATGTAGAGTGCTAGCATACCCATGCTCAGATAGTTCCGGATGAAGTAGCCAGTGTCTAGAAAGGCAGCCTGTAGAAAGTAGAAGGCAGCAGTCTTAAATTTCCCAGGACATTGACAGCCCAGCCTGGGGTCTGAGAAGGCAGTTAGGTGGACCTAGAGATATTATCACTGAAGGGTGCCCAAGCTAAATGAAATGGCGTTACTTTTCTTGGGGCTGGTATCAACTTTGGTTGGCAACGGTGATTATTTAAGGCTGATCAGAAACTGTGATAGTACCATAATGTCTTTGATGAACTTTTAATGGAAAAATAATTATTAGTTAACAAGTTGGGTTTGTTTAATAGATAAAACCTTTTGAAACACGATGGTATGCCCCAGGCAGGCTGCTCAGATGTGGCCTCCCAGGGGCCCAGTGCCTGCTGAGGTCACACAGCAGAGAGCAGCTCCTCACTACCTCAGGTTCCGAACATCCACCTGGTGGTGGTGGTGGGGGGTCTTGCTGTGCTACGGGAGAGCTTGAGTTTTGGGCCCATTGTGACCTCACTGCAAGCCCCAGCTCTAAATCTCACTAGCTGGATGGAACTAGGAAAGTATTTATTTAACTTTTCTGGGTCACCATTTTCTCACTTATAAAATAGCGACAATACAGACCTCGTTGGTTTGTTGTTGTGATTAAATGAGTTAATTCACGTAAAATGTTTAGAAGGATGCTTTGTAGAGAGTACAGTGAATTATTATTGGGTCAAACTAAAGAGTGCTGTCTTACACTGGTGAAAGAGACTGATATATAAACCAGATACCAGTTTACTAATTTATCATTAGACAGTGCAGCTGACAGGTGGCCTGAAAACCCATTTTTCTGGTCAGCACATACTCTCTGGTCTCACCCAAGACCACACAAGAAACAAGTCCCAAACCAAAGAAGCCAGATGAGAGTGGAATGGAGTCAGGGGGAACGAGTGGATGGAGCTTAGGGGCCTGTGGTAACAAGCTCTGATGGACTAAGGCACGCAGTGCCTCTGAAGGGCAGGGCTTGCTACAGGGACAAGTCACAAGATGGCATCTGCCTCCTCCCAGGCAGGGCTGGAGGCCCACCGACCAGCACTTGCTTTCTCACCCCATCCCCTCTACTGCAGGACTCCGGTGTTCTTGATTCCAGTCATATCTCATGTGTTCTTCCAATCACTGTGTTCTTTGGCTTATTGTGCCCTAGTCATCCTGATGGTTCATATGTGTTCCCCCAACCCCGACACATACATATACCACCAAAACACAATTTACAGTCTCTTGACTGACTTCTACATCTCAACCATTGTTTGTTGGTTCTTACTAGTTGTACCCTAACATAACTTTACTCCTAAGTTCTGGAAGTCCATACTTATGCTGTGATTGAAAAGTTTGGGCCGAGCCCGTGGCGCACTCCAGAGAGTGCGGCGCTGGGAGCACAGCAGCGCTCCCGCTGCGGGTTCGGATCCTATATAGGGATGGCCGGTGCGCTCACTGGCTGAGCGCGGTGCGGCCAGTCTCAAAAAGGACAAAAAAAAAGAGAAAAGTTCATGGAGGGGGAAGAGTAAGAAATCTTTGGTGGGGAGAAGGTTTGGAATGACTACCCTCAAGGGTTCCTAGCAGTTAAGAAAAATCTGGGCTCCTGCACTGATGGAGAGTTACCACCCTGGAGCAAAGTCTTGAGTGATGGTATTTCAACGTGTGTGTGTGTGTGTGTGCGCGCGTGTGTGTACGTACGTACAGACTCTAAATGCTGCGTGTGTGTGTACAGAATCTAAATGCCATGTGTGTGTGTGTGTACGTACAGAATCTAAATGCCGTGTGTGTGTGTGTGTGTGTGTGTGTACGTACAGAATCTAAATACCATGAGAAAGGAATCTGAGAAAGGGTTCTTCTGGGCCCAGTGACACAAAACAGGAGGCAAGGACAGCTGTTCACTTGGCTGAGGCACTATGACTAAATACAGTGGTTCTCACCACAGAGCATTATAAATATCTCACTAAAATTCAACGAAGAAGTGAGGGTCACAACAAATACTAATAATCATCAAAATGGCTAACATGTATTGAACTGCTAGAAACCATAATGAGTTTTGCTCGTATTATCTTATTGAATATTCACCGTAACCCTACAATGCAAGGATCATTATTATTCCCATTCTATAGAAGAGGAAACTGAGGTGCAGAGAGGCTTAATTTGCCAAGATCACATAGCTATTAGATACTAGAATGCAGACTCAAATGCAGTTCTGATTCCAGGGCAGCTCCTTAATTTACAAGTTAAAAACAAATCAGATTCACAGTCACTCCCTTATTCCATGTTCAAAATACTTCCCCCAAAAGACTGAAGGGCACATGGCCCTGGATGTGCTGTGCTCACAGGCTTGTGTCACATGAGAATGTCATCCACTGTGTGGAATAGTTGTGGACCAAAGCTGAGAACAGCAAACCTGGATGTGAGAAGGCTGGGGACCCAGATATCTGGGTTCTTTCTCCATCTCTGCACACATAGAGGTATCTGAACCTAAGCAAGACACATCTTTCTGCCTCATATTCCTCTTCTGTAAAATGTCAACTCAGCAGAACCCACTTACACAAGACTATGAAGAAAAAACCAAAATAAAACGTTTGCAAAAGTATTCTTCAGTGTTTAAAATGCTGTAGCATAGGTTGACAAAGATTTACTTATTCTAGTTTAGGGTTTCAAAGCTCTCTCTATACACAGTAAAGCAGGAATCACTTCCAAACTACCCATTTATTAACAAAGAAAACAGCCACTTAGAATTACTGACAGGGCATGACCTATACATATTAGAATGGGCTTAAATTGCATGGTGATTTCTGCCTCGCCTCATGCACTCAGTGGGTGCCAGGCAGAGTCTCATGCTGTGTTCCTACACGCGTGCTTTCTGATGCCTAGCTCAGCAGGCGTGGTGCTCCTGGGGCCATCATCTTGCCTACAGTGTTTATGTGCACATGTGAGTCTGGGTGTCTCCAGACAAGGCTCCAGGTTGCTGCCTCCATCACTCCTCCCATGAAATAACACCTTTTGGATGCATAGGACTTTACAGCTAACAAAGATTTTTATTCCAATTACACAGGACCTTGCCTCATTCAATCCTCCAACCACCCAAAGAAGCAGGCATAAGGATAAGGATAAGGCATAAGGATAAGGATAATTTACTCAGGAGAGGTTGACTGCCCGAGACCATCAGTGGTAGAGCTGGGCTAATCCCAGTACATGACTCTTCCACTATACCACAGATTTTAGATCATTTATTTAATGAACAACTATTAGTTGGGCACCAAGCATCAGCCACTGTGCTAGGAACTTTTACTCGTCAGCTTGCTCTCCTGAGAGAAGCTTGTTCAACCTCCTGCCCACACAATTAATGAGTTTTAAGTGGTGGAATTAACAAATGATGACTACTGAGCACATCACATTAAGAGCCAGGCGGTAGTACAGCGCGGCAGGTAAGAGCAGTGCTCTAGAGCCTTGAATCCCAGCCCTGCCGCCCACTACATCAACTCCCTGCATTTCCTCATCTATAAAATGGGGATAATAATTGTGCCAGTTCATAGTGCTGTTGTGAGGACTGAATGAGTTAATATAGGTAAGCACTTACAACCACATCTATTACACAATAAGAGCCTAATAAATATCAACTGTTATTATTTGAAAGTTCCTTATCATCTTGAAACAAGGCTGGGGAACAGGCCTCTTGAACTTCTCTCTTCATGTTCCAAAGCTTTCATTTCAAAGATTCTGGCCAGAAAAAGTCTTCTCTAGTTGGGCCGAGTTCAAAAGCACTTGCTGAGTCTGCATACCATCCTCCCTCCCTTCTCCCCTCCACTCCAACGTCCTGACCCCCACCTCCTTAAGGATGGACTTTGGTAATGGGGTCCTTGCCTCTACTCTCTCTCCCTCAATGTCATTCCCTACTTCTCAATTTTCCTAAAATATTCATTTATCAAACATTTTTACTAAGAACCTATTATGTGCTAGGCACTGTAGTGGATGCAGTGATGAGCTGCCCAGATCCCCTCTCAGGAATGATGGACTTGGCCTAGCTCCTGAGAGTGCCGATGGCAGGAAGTCCTCAGCTCTCAGCCCCTGAGGGGGATTGCCTCAACTCAAGAAAACTTCCTCTCTCAGAATGATGTCTCCTCCTGGTAGCCCCAGCATCTAAAGGCTGATCACCTTAGCAGAATGGAGGCCTGACACACTGCCCCAACTCAGGACAGCTCTGCAGGGCTATCCCAGCTCCAGCGTGTGGGACTGACTGAGGCTTTCATCGGGCCTGGATTGCTGCTCAACCTCTCCCTCTGCTCAACCCTGTTCCCTAGGCCCTCCCTTCACAGGTTTTGATCCCAGCAGCACCCTGTAATAAATGCCCTGCATACTGCTTCCCAGGGAACCCAACCTGTGACAGGCACAGAAGATGCAAACAATAGTGAGCCAGTCTGGCCTTCAAGGATGTCAAGGCAAAATGGGGAGTGCAGTTCTAATGATGGCATGCAGCTCACAACGGAGAAGCACAAAGCACAACAGAAGCCCAGCTGCAGGGGCAGAGTTGAGTGGGGCCCATCACTACAGGTTCAGGGACCCCTAGAGGCCCATCGGCCAGGTTGTGAAAGACCTCTATGACCGAGGCCCACCCTGCTAGCCTGCTAGGATTTCCCACAGGTTCTGACATCCAATCTGCATGCTCAGGCTTGAGGCAGAGCTGGGCTCTGACGCTAGCTAAAATTTGCCTGGAAACCAGTGAGAACTTAGCAAAATGTTGTCTATGTCCAATAAATCTCAAGACAATAACATCACACTGAAATTAACAATTCCCTATCAAGCATCTTCAAGTACCTTGTAGACTGGTGCCAAAGGACCCACGGCCCCTCTACACCCTGCCTCCCACTGGGTACCAGCCAGGTTGCCTAAGGTGCTGGTGAGCGCAGTAAGGCCAGCAGAGGTTGGGAGGCCAGAATTTCAACCAAGACTGTGGGCTGAGGCCTTTCAACCTGGTGAGCTCCCGACTGGTTTAAAGCTCTGAAGTTGGCAGAGCAGCTCCAGTGGAAAGATGGCTTCTGGAATGGTTGACATTGGCTAGTGAAGGGTGTGGCTACCGTGATGCACAGTCTGGAGTGATTGAGGGCAACTTCCCACCCTTCCATGTCAGATCCTCTCCCCTTTGTCCTGTGCTTTCTGAAATGGAGCTGGCTGACTGTCATTTTTCCATCCCACAAAACAATATCTTCTGCCAACTCCCCTCCTTACGCCCCAGAAGATAGGGTCTTTCTCAGCTGCTGCAATTCATTTACCCCATCTCTCTGAAGTCCTGCAGCACCGGCTCTTCACATTTCTTTCATGGAATTGTAAAACTGGAAGTCAACTTGGAGGCCATCTAGTGCTCCCTCTGACCCAAGAGAGCACTTCTCTAGTGCCTGACAGGGCTAAAGAGCTATTAGTTTTCCTTCCTTTGAGCCCAAACTGGTCTACCTTGAGTCATTCAGAGAACATTTACTTCTTTTGCCATATAATAGTCCATCAAATAGAGACTGGTCACACAGGAATCACTGAGTGCTTATCTCTTGTGCTTGTCAGCAAATCCACACAACAGTCCTATAAAGAAACTGAGTAGATGTTCAAAAAGGTCAAGTGATTTGTTGTGGTTACCCAGTTAATATTGGTGGCCCCTTCTGTTACCTGTAGTAGAGCTGAGATTTGATCTCAGACCCAACTCCAACTCCAGTGCTCTTCAAGCACAAAAGCATATTCTGTGTCACAGACTGTTCAGCTGCACTTCCAGGGACTTAGGAATTGGGAAGAACTCCTCCTATAGGAGATCACAAGCTGAAAAGGGGCTGAGGGGATGAAAGCCTGGCAAACAGGCAGGCACAGATCCTGCAACGAATGGCTCCCAACTTACCCATCTGCAGGTCTGAAGTTGGAACAGAATGAGGAGGGCTGTGAGAAAGCTCTCAGGAGGGCTGAGAGTGCACATAGCCACAGACACGGCTGGAGGAATACCTCCTCTGGACTGCCGAGTGGGAGGGAAGTTGAAGAGACAGGCACATCAGTGGCCCTTATGACAGTTTCATCAGTCCACCAATGCCTGCTCTGTGGTCAGTCAACAGAGCCTTCCTGTCCTTATTCTCCTCTACCCCACAAACAGGTTTCTCTCCCCTAGCTACCTATACCACAATACCCTCAACAGCTCAGAGCCACAATCCCTTGGTTGAGCTTTGTGACTACAATCTCCACGAAGCCAGCAAGGTCATTCTGCTGACTCTGGTTTCTCCACTGTCACTGAGAGCAAAACAATGTCTCCATTTTAAGGTCTTTGAATAACAATTATACATAGCAGGTAAGTCCTCAAGAAATATTTATAAATCATACTACCTCAAACATCTCCTCTCCCCTCATAAAGATTGCTTAAATTGAAAACAAAGTGTTCTATTTCTTCCCATTAGGACCTATCATCAACTCCCACTCCCCAGGCCTCACCCACATGGTTAGAGGAAAAATGAAGAACATAAAACTACCAAAGCAAAATGGGGACAAAGATGGTTTCTCTTCAGCCCTGAGTGTCCAGATCAGAGCAGCAGAGTGAACCTGGGCCAGAAACCACTGAAGAAAGCAGTTGGCAAACCATGTTTAAGACAAGGTCACAAAATCAGTTCGAACTCCCAAGCAGAGCCCAAGACCCCTTCAGCTGAGACCGAGCCCAAGCAAGGGGAAACAACATCACAGTGATGCCAACACACTTCCCCTCATTCCACCAGCTCAACCCACCCCAAGGTCAGGCAGATGACGTCCATGCCCAAGCAGCCTTGACAATGTCTCTTCCCAGGGGCAAGGCTGGTGCTGCTGTTGCTTTCTCCATGTGATTGATACAAGTCACAGGAAAACGCCAATTAGAGAGCCCACATCCCTCAACAGTAGGCAAACACTGCAGCCCTGCCCAGGGAGCAGCAGAGATGAGGCAAGGGAGATGCAGGGGGAATTTAATTTACATAGCAGCCACATGGGGCCCAGTTAGCGCTGGGGCAGTGGGAGAATCTATAACCCTAGAGGGCACCCCTGACACCTTCCGTCTGGGAGACAAGTCCTCACAGACCCTTGGATGGGCTCCCCAGGTTGTGCAGAGGATGATCCAGTCGAAAGGAGAGATTTGGGAATAAGGCTGACCCAAGTCAGGGGAAGGCCACGGGCTGGAGCTGGTTGCCCATGTGATGACCCAGGGGTCTGAGAGACCTGTCCATGTCCTGGGCACAGTCCTCAGCCTGGGGGCCCTAGAGGAAGCCTTCACGGCGGAACTGTTCCTGGAGGATGGCACGGTACTGGTCAAATCCCCCCTCGACCCGGGTGATGCCGCCTCCTTCACACACCCACAACTCCTGGCACACTAGCCGGATGAAGCGCTCATCGTGGGACACCAGAATCACGCCACCCTGAAAGATAGGAGAGCAGGAGGAGCTCGGGGCAGTGGGGGCACTGAGAGGCACTGAGGCCTGGGGAAGAGTGGTCAGTGCAAAGGCACAATTACCCTGAAGTTGTTGAGAGCACGTCCCAGAGCCTCAATCGTCTCCATGTCCAGGTGGTTTGTGGGTTCATCCAGAATGTAGAAGTTGGGGCTAGAAGGCAGAACCCACAGAGGTTGGAAATTATGTGGTGGGGGGGTGGGAGAAAATGACCCTTCTGATACAAGGGCAAGAGGATCATTTTCTACTGGGTAAGGTAAGGAAATAGGAGGGCAAGAGTTCTAGAAAATGAGGCCTCACCAGGGCATGGTCATCTGAGCAAAGGCCACCCGGCTTTTCTGGCCTCCGGACAAGCTGGCAACAGGGCGCATGGCCAGTTCTCCTGAGATGCCATACCGGCCCAGCTGGTGACGATACTCCTCCTCTGGCCGCCCTGCAAAAGGCGCCCCCCCCCGGCTCCCTTCATCAGGTGGGTTCTTAGCCCAACGCCCTCTCTTCATCCCCCAGCCCTGCCTCCAAAGGCCCATGTCCTTACACCTAGACTTGGGCAGGCTGCTCCTCACCCACCCCAAGGTAGGCCTAGCTGCAGGGATCAGAACTGGCCCTCTTCCCTCAATTCAAATCCCTAACACACCAGGAAACTTTCGGGCCAGCAGTTCCACAGCACTGACATTCAGGTCCAGCTGCTCCACATGGTGCTGGCTGAAATAGCCAATCTTCAGATTCCTGTGGCCAGAAATAGAGGTGGAAATGGAGATGGAAGGGAGTGATCCTGCAGGAGTGGAGGCAGTGTGAGTGCATATGAGCACAGGCATGTAGATGGGTGTGGGGGTGGGCCTTACCGGTGAGCATGTCTGATGCCTTGAACAGGTGCTAGGTCCCCCATAAGCAGCTTCAGCATGGTGGACTTCCCAGCCCCATTCTCCCCAACCTATAAGAAACATGAGAACATTGTTAGAGTGTGCTGTCTGGAACACAGAAGGGAAAGAAATGAGAAGGGGGTCCCTGGTAGTCCCAGTGATTCCTTCAGCAATCAAAACAATATTTTTAAGGAACTGTACAGAAAAATGAAGTAAAGATACAAAGGGAACCAATACCTGAGTTTCTGCTAAGCACGAGGGATTTACTTCTCCTAGTAATCAAGTGAGGTAATTGTTATTTCCATTATAAAGAGGAGGAAACTGCTTGGTAACCAAGCTAGGAAATGGCACAGTCAGGATCTGAAGTCTGACCCTGAAGCCCATGGTCTCTCCTTGATTTCCCACAGTTTGAGAAAACTCAGAACTGAGACCAGTCAGATAAAAGTAATGTTCTATGTATTCATAAAATAACACATGCTTAACTTTTCATTCTGTAGGCATGGCCCTGTGAGGCTAGAGGACAGGGGCAGTATAAGTACAGCAAAGTCCTTAGCCCAGGCCCTGACTGCCATTCCTGTGGACCTCTGCTAGCTTTAGCCCAGTCCACACCACGTGTTGGGCTGGGAAGAGTCCTAGCTCATGGAACAGAGAAACCTCAACCATACCACACAGATGCGGGACTCCAGATCAGCAGAGACGGAGAGACGACTGAAGATGACATGTTTAGGATCATAGTAGAAATCCACTTCATCTAACTGCAGAATTGGTGGTGAGAACTTCTCAAACCCATCAGGAAACCTGCAGGAGGTGGGGGTGAGGAGCATGGGGGCAGCCAGAAACAAGAGCTTCCCCACCAGCCACTCTGGCCCAAAACTCACTTCATCACAACCTCCGATTCCTTGTCTACAGGTTTCAGCTCCGGTCTGAGGGGAGAGATGAAGTGGACTAGATTGATGCCTTTAAAAATTAACTTTATTTGTTTTTCTCACGCAAGTAATACATGTTCACGGAGAACTTCAAAAAGGCTTATACTCCTATCACCCAGATAATGTTATTTTAGAGTACATTCTTCTAGTTCACTATTCGCTGAAAAACAGAATCATCTTTTTTGTAGCTTTTTACCTCAATATATTGAGACATATGTCTCCATGTTACAAAGTTCTATGCGTTATGATTTTAAGCTCCTCCCTCTACCCCACCAGTAATTCTAGGAAGGTTGCTTCAAGATTAAACCCCCAATGCTCAATATCATTAGTCATTAAAAAAATGCAATCAAAACCACAATGAGGGGCTGGCCGGTTAGCTCAGTTGGTTAGAGCGTGGTGCTGATAACACCAAGGTACACGGTTCACTCCCTGTACTGGACAACTGCCGAAAAAAAAGAAAAAAAGAAAGAAAATGGTTTGGCAGTTCCTCAAAAATTAAGCATGGAATTACCATGAAACCCAGCAATTCCACTTTAATATGTACCCAAGCAAACCGAAAACATATATCCATACAAAAACTTATACATGAATAATGTTTACATTATTCATAATAACCAAAATGGAAACAACCCAAATGTCCATCATCTGATTAATCAATAAACAAAACAACAAGAAATGTGGTATATCCACACAATGGAATATTATTCAGCTATAAAAAGAAATGAAGTACTGGTACATGCTACAACATGAATGAACTTCAAAATTATTATGCTAGGTGAAAAGAAGCCAGACACAAAAGGTCACGTATTGTATGACTCCATTCCTATGAAACATCCAGGAATAAGCAAATCTATAGAGACAAAAAGTAAATTAGTGGTTGCCTAGGCAGCTCACTAATTAACCCTCCAAGAGCAAGGTGCCTTCCTGCAGGGGAGGAAGTTAAAGTTGGCTTTTAGCACCTCTACCAGCAGCACAGGAGACTTAGCAAAGGGGAGACTTAGAATTGGAGGGAGGCAGCAAGGGATGGCCTGCAAAGTGAGGGAAGAAATGAAGAGAACAGGAGTTGGGGCATGGCCAAGGACACTGTACTCACAGCTTCTCCAGCATCTTGAGTTTACTCTGCACTTGAGAGGCCCTGTTGGCGTTGTAGCGAAATCGGTCGATGAAAACCTGTGGAAGGAGTGCAGGCATGGTCAAGCTCCCTCACTACCCCCAACTCTAATACTCACGGGGTGAGACACCCCCAGCCCTGCCTGCTCCCACACCTGGATGTGCTGGCGATACTGCTGCTGTGCCTCATATTCACGCTGCTGGTTGAGCAGCCGCTCCTGCTTGCTCTTGATGAAGGTCTCAAAGTCTCCCCGGTAACCATCTAGCCGCTGGCTGTGCAGGTGGATGATGTCTGTGGCAATGGCATTCAGGAAGTTGCGGTCGTGGGAGACGACTAGGATTGTGGAGGGCCATGTCTGAGGGATCACAGGATGGCAGCCCAGTTTGGGAGGGCAGTCAGTTCCCAGACCCCCAGATATCTTGGAGGCAGACTTTCCCCAAACCAACTCTAGCACCTAAAGGCACTCACCTGCAGGTAATTCTCCAGCCACAGGATGGCCCTTACATCCAGCATGTTTGTGGGTTCTGGAGAAGGGGAGCACACACTTGGGATTGAAGGTCTGGAGAACTAGGAATTTGGATGCTACCACTCTTCCCCACCCCCAAATCGGGGTGCCCCATTTCAAACTCACCATCTAACAGCAGAAGATCTGGCCTATGAAAAAGAATACATAGCATGAGGTTTTAGATCAGTGACTCATTGCCCCTCCTAAGAGCCAAGGCCCATCCTACATAGGAATCCATATACAGGCCCAGGAGACTCACCTGGCAAAGAGGGCCCGGGCCAGGGCCAGTCTCATTCTCCAGCCACCTGAGAACTCCCTAAAGAAAGAGAGAACCACATTAGGGGTGGATGTTCATTAGGAAAAGCAGGGACAAAGCCAACAGTGTTCAGAGCCAAGAATGGCAATGGCCACTTACCGAGTGGGCTGCTGCTGCATTTTAGGGGTAAAGCCAAGCCCAGCAAGAATGACTGATGCCCTAGGAGTGAAGAAATTGAAGAACCCAGTTAGAATAGTTCACAGAAGGGAAAGGTGAAATCTGACAGAGGGGGAATTTTTAATACCTGGCAGGTGCCTTGTCAGCCTCAATCTCTTCCAATTTGGCATAGATTTCTGCCAGCTGTGCAGCTTCAGAGCCTTCCACCCTGGGAGGAAGGATAAAGAGCAATCAGCCTGAATGTGGGCAGTCTAGGAAAATGTCCTGCACCCTATACATTTGGAAAGCAGGCCACTGGCTGCCTTGTTGCTGGGACATGAATAGAACACAGGAAGGACTTGCCAAGGTAAAGAGAGCAATGTGCACTGTGGAAAACACAAGGGATTGAGAGTCCCACAGTGCCAAGTCATTCCAAGCTCTGCTGATTACTAGGATTGGCAGGTGAATTATGGGTTGTGACAGCATGGCAGGCACTTTGTGAAGGACAGCTGCTGCCAGTTATTCCCTAGCCTGGAATCCTCACCTGCCAGCAGCAATTTGGGCGCTGAGTTCCCGCTCCCGCTGTAGCAGGTCCTCTCGCACGTTGTCACTCTCCAGCACACTCTGCAGGGCAGGGGTATCATCTCCAGCAACCTCCTGCTCTACATGCAGCAGGGAAATGTGGGCTGGAACCCGCAGGCTCCGGGTAGCCAGCATCTTCAGTAGCGTCGTCTTCCCCAGCCCATTCCGTCCCACCAGCCCATAGCGGCGGCCCCATGCCAGGTTCACATCCGCTCCAGCCAACAGTACCCTGCAGGGGTGGTAGAAAGGAGACCAGGGTGCTCTAGAAATAGGTTCACAGCAAGTTTAACAATAGATACGTGATATTGTTTTTAGCCCCATTTCATCCCTTCAAATTCTCCTTTAATGGGGTGTGTGTCTGTGTGTGGAAGAGGAATGCCACTCCCCACCACCATGCTCTCACCTATCGCCAAAGGACACATCAAAGTTCTCAATCCGCACATCATAGGATTTGTTCTTGCCAGATGATTCCAACCGACTCTCCTTTCTGCTGCCTGGCTGGCTGGCTGATGCTTCTTCTAAGACTCTTTTAAAGAGAAAAATGGATAGCTTTTACGTTTCCAGCCACCCTTCCATCCCAGCAGAGACTGCTCTGCTCTCTTCTGAGCCCTTCTTCCTAAACTCACAGAGGGTTGTTGATCTTGACTGTGTCCTTCTCTGAGCGCTTCTCCTGCTTTGCCTTCAGTCGAGCCTCGGCCTTCTCTAGCTTCTTTGCATTCACTGTCTAAGGGTCCAAACACAACCACTTCACTGTAGGGTGCAGGCTCAGAAAAGAACCCCCAGAGAGAACACCTCAAGTAAACCCTTTCAACTTAGGCATGATGAACAGACTCAAAGACTCAAGGCAAGACATACTCAGAAATTCTCTCAAGAGATACTCCAATATTTAGACGGTCAACTCCCACCCCTACTATAGACAGAACCCCCCCCCCTTTCTTCTTCCTTCTCACCGAGGACTGTTCCCTCTTTAGCAGTCCTGGAAGTTTGGTGCCACAGTCTGTAAGCGATAAGAAAAGCAGTCACCTTCTCCCTGAGGGAAGGGAAACTAATATTTTGAGTAATTAATATGAACCAGGCAGAGACACAGACGTTTTCAAGAAAGCTTTACAATACAGTGGACAGATAGTTATCATCCTCCATGAACTAAAAAAAATAAATCTCACATATAAGGATACAGACTGGGACAGATAAACAACTCTTACGAGATCACACAGTTGGTTAGAAGTTGTAAAATGGGCGTGGCAGGGGAGAAGGTGAAACCAAGTTTGTCTAGCAACAAAACCCATATGCTACCTACCATACCCAAGAGCCTGAAGAACCCTCCAATCCTACACTACCTTCAACACAGTAAAGACATCAACTAGCTCCTACAATCTTGTTTCTGTGGAAAAGTGATAGGAGTCCTGAGCTGCAATGGGAAGGGGGCTGGGTGGGGGTGGCGGGGAGATCGAGAAAAGGACAGAAGGCAGCTGGTTCAAATCTCCCCACACTCTCACCATAGCTCTCTGTTATCTTTGATAACTGGATGGGAGCGTCCAGTAGCACCTGGCTGTTTCCTTGGCTCTGTGGCTCCGCCCTACATGGGTAGGGATATAAAAGCGCAGAGTTAGGAGTTGAAGGTAAAGGCTCTTAGGCCATCAGACTTTCTTCCATGCCCACCTCTTGTCTCCGAACCGTTTGCCGTCCCTTCGCCCCCATCAATCCCTACTCCCTGGCACGTACAGGCGCAGAGTGTTGTACATGCGCTGGCACACGGCTCTGATGCCCTCGTCATCCTTGCTGTCCCCGGACACCTCTTGCAATAGTTCCCCCACAGCTTCCACCAAGTCATCCACAGACTCGAAGTCCGCGCTGCCGCTGTGCAAGACGCCTGGGCCAGGCAAGGCAGGACGAGGAAGATACCGGGTAGGGTGGACATACAAATAGTTTCAGTCACCGAACCACGGGCCCCAGTCCTGGCTCCAGACTCAACCTACCCTCCGGACAAGAGGTCATGCAGAGGTGAGCCCTGGCAGCGGTCCTCGGCACTGCCCTTAGGTTTTCCCCATGACCTTCACTTCGGCCTCCCCAGCCAGTTGATTCAGTTGGGCTCACCCGTCACGTAGTCGAAGACCTGTCCGTCTATGTCGGGGAACTCGCTCCGCAGGATTTCGGCGCAAGTCGCCATGTTCCAGTCGGGATCCCATCAGCGCAGTCGCCGTGAGACCTCGGCCTAGGCCCGCCCCCTGCCCTTCCCCCCGAAGTCTCGCACCTCCTTCCAAAGCGCACGCGTAGTAGTGACGTAAGAAAGGAGCGGAGTGCGCGGAACCCGGTGGGCGGAGAGAACGGGGCTAGAGGAACCGTGCGCACGCGCCGCTCAGAGTCTACGTCGAAGCTGCCCTTTCTGCGCTTGCGCAATGCCGTTTCCGCTGAAAGATTAGCCACATGTGCCACTCTCGCTGCTTTCTGGGAGGTGGAGGTATGGGAGGCGAGGGGTGGGGCCGGGGCAGGGGAGCTCGGGGTTTATCAGGGCGTGGGACACCGGTGGTCCGGCGGGTGGGAGCCTCCCAAGAGACAGGCGGCTGATAAAGCACATTGAGTTTGCTAGATTTTATGTCCCCTCTCGAGGTGCGTGTGCCTCTGCGCGCCCCGCCGAGTCCACTCTGGAGCCCGCCGAGAGCTTTGCTGACTCACGGCAATCCCGGAGCTCTCAGAAGAATGCTCAGTTATGTGTATCCGCCGGTTTTGTCACAGGGCCCTAGGGGCTTCTTGTCTCAGCCTGGTGCCCCACTCTCCCCGGCCCCTCCCCTGCTTGACCAGCGCTCAGTCCTATCACACTTCATGACAATTCAGCCAACCATTGCGAATTATGCCCATTCAATTCTTCCGTCACCCCAGGACACAACCTCACCCTCCAGCAAAGGGCAAGAAAACTAGATCGACAACACGCCTTTGTAAATTCACCGGTAAAGCAGATTTCTCTGCACCCTGGATCTCAGTAAGTGATAGTAAAAGGCTATTTCCTTTCACCAATTCCCTCAGGTGGAAGTTAGGAATATCCATAAAATGACGATACTGCTTTATATTTAATGTGAATATTCTTCCAACCCGGCTCTGAAATTGGCACCTAAAATTACATCATTATCCATTCATCCTTTTGGATTAAGTATTGCCACTGTGAGGAATCAATCCCGATATTTAAAGTTTAAAAAGCTATTGAGCTTCTAGATCTAATAACCATTTTACAGGAAATACAGGTAAAAAGGAATATGTTAAGTGACATCACGGAGATGCAACAGGCAAATTCTGATAGGGAAACTACAGAACTTCGGTTTCTTCAACAAAATTGCCAGAGCTGAGGGGTACCATGGATTATAAGATTTTAGAAGCATTAACCAACGACACTGGCCCTATTTGGATCCAGATGCAAGTTGTGAAAAATTTTATAGGACACCTGGATTAAGTGAACACAGATTAGATGTGATATTAAGGAGTTGGCCATGAGCTGATCATTGTTGAAGTTGGGTCATGGGACATGGGGGTTCCTTATATTATTCTACTTCTGTTTATGTTTGAAATCTTCTCTAAAATATTTTTTAAAAGAGCTGAAACTTAGCAAGAGAAAACTGGTGAGGGTAAATCTGCTCTTTTATCTGCCCCAGCACACAAGCAGAATATGGGACATTCCCCTCAGGGAGCAGTTTTGTAAGAAGCCTGGGGAAAATCAAATCTTTCCCCTTACCACCTACCCACCAAGATTTGGGAAGCCTGGGTAAATGGGAAAAAGATGGAATTAAGGGGTCAGTTTCTCCAGATGGCTGCAAAACCAAATATTAACCTTGCTTAATCTATACTCATTAGAAAACAACTGCCGAAGGGGCCGGCCTGTGGCTCACTTGTGAGAGTGTGGTGCTGATAACACCAAGGCTGCAGGTTTGGATCCCTACGTAGGGATGGCCAGATAGCTCACTTAAAGAAGCCTGGGGAAAATCAAATCTTTCCCCTTACCACCTACCCACCAAGATTTGGGAAGCCTGGGTAAATGGGAAAAAGATGGAATTAAGGGGTCAGTTTCTCCAGATGGCTGCAAAACCAAATATTAACCTTGCTTAATCTATACTCATTAGAAAACAACTGCCGAAGGGGCCGGCCTGTGGCTCACTTGTGAGAGTGTGGTGCTGATAACACCAAGGCTGCAGGTTTGGATCCCTACGTAGGGATGGCCAGATAGCTCACTTAGGAGAGTGTGGTGCTGACAACACCAAATCAAGGGTTAAGATCCCCTTACTGGTCATCTTTTAGGAAAAAAGGAAGAAAACAAAACAAACAAAAAAACACCTGCTGAAAAGTGAGTTAGGGAAAGAATCTACCTGGGGCCAGGTAGGGTGGCATACCCTTGAGGCTGTTTTCTTCCTAGAGGAGCCAGGAGACCTGGGACAACACCATGAGAATGAGGGCTTGGGTGGCCCAGGAAGGGCCTAACTATTAGGACAAGTCAAGACAAGAACCTTGAGAGTATTCAGAATAGAAAATCTACTTAAAGCAGCCAGCATGCGAAAATGTGGGAAGAGCAGTCGCACCAGTTCCCCTCCCCATGTAGCTCTTGATTCAATACTTAGCCAATAACTCCACTCTAGAGTTTATTGGATTTAATAACTGGACAAAGTCACACATGTACAAAATGAAGCTCACACTATCCCAAAGCAGAGTAGGAATTGAGGGCTGGGGATTCGTTACTGGCCTTTGGGGGAGCTCTGAGGTGAGGGGCAGCCAACCCTTCCACTCCAGAGGTGTGGCCACAGGGTGTGGAGGAGAGGGGACCCACCTGGCTTTGGTCACAGAACTCAGAGTCTGGCACTAGGCCAGGACAGATGGAAGAGCAGGAACCTCAGAAACTACCCTGCCAAGGGAGCCCAGGGACTACTCCACCAGTCCCACTCGTCATGTAGTTGGTCCAGACCTAGATTCAGGGGCTGGTGCAAAGGGAAGGCAGCAAAGCAGGCGGGAGGAGGAGACACTGATGTGTGGTGGCGGCTGGGAGGCACCCAGACCTGTGGAGAAGGTTGGGTGGGGAGGTGGGCTAGCTACCTGGAGGCAGCTAGCAGCGGGTTTCATAAATGCCACTGCGGCCAATGTAGCGCACCCATTTGATGACATCATGGTCGCTGTAGTTCAGCTTCGGTTCAAACACCTTCAAGTAGCGCACCTTGAGGCCAGAGGGCGCGAATGGCACCTGGGCAAGGGACAGCTCCAGTTAGGAATGTGGCTTTCCTCTCACAGCTGCTCTCCACTGGGAAGTTCAGAAGCCCTGCCTTACCTTATCTCTACAACAGTGTTTGAATAGCTGGGGTGGTTAGGAGCCCTCTAAGAGGTTATAAAGAAGAAAGCATATCTAAGAGTAACTAGCAATCAACTTGGGTTTGAAGTTATGCCCTGCCTGTGTTAACTTGAATCAATTTCTTTAGTCAGCAGGAGGCATCAACCAAAGAGATGCCTTAGGATGTGCCTATCCTGCTCAATACTATGGACTTACAAAAGAAGGTGAAGAAAAGGTTTTATCTGTACAAAGCAAAGTCAGCCCATTGTCCTGTCTGTAAGTAAACTTTGTCTTACCTGGCATTCAAACAATCTAAATTTTTTTAGAAGAATTGTTTTATGACAAGCCAAGAGAGATCAAAGATTTTTTTCAGTGTGAACAGGAATTTGTATTAAGAGGTTTGAAGGGGGGAAGAAATGGGTCTATGAATTAGTCACTTCCTCTTTCTACGGCTCAGTTTCCTCATTTCTTAGGTGCAGAGGTTGATCTGAGTGATTTCTAACATTTTTCCCAGCATACCCTGCCATGGCTCTAGGGCCCATTTCTGCCATACCTCAAAGTTCATGGAAATGGGGGGTCGAGCCCATTTCTTCTTGTCGTTGGTGGGCAGAAGCTCAATCTCTGCGCTGATCTGCGATTCCTTCATGCCTGCCATACGCTTGATCCTGGGAACAAAGGGGCAATGGGCGGCAAGTGCCTGCCGTAGCTTGGAAGAGTTTCAAGGGGGGTTGTCCATTTCAAGCAGGGAGAGAGCTTAGGAGCTTGTAGGTGGTGTGAGGAAAAGGAAGAGTGGTCAGGACCCTGATGACCACTTGCTATGGAACCTTGGGTCTGTTACTCCTTTAGCACTGTGAGCTGCAGTTTCTGCTTTGATATGAGCATGCTATCCTTTGCTCTATTTCTGACTACTTCACAGAGCTATTACAAGGGCAAGTGGAGAAATGCTAAAGCATCTTGAAAAATAAACACATCCAAGTGCAGGCGTGTATACACACACAGGTGTAAGGGCTGACAGCACAAGCAGAGGCCCCCAGAGAAGCAAACAGGCACCCCCGCCTCCCAACCAAGAGGATGAAAGGTGAAACTTAATAAGAGGGTACACTATGGCCTCATGAAGGAAAGACTCACTTCCAAACGATGGCGTTCTCACTGGCCTTGTACTTGGCTTTCCCCTTCATGCAGATCACCTGCACCCCGCTCGTGTTCAGTGGGGTTGGGATCCTCACCTAGAAGTGACACACCTATAAGGAGCTCTGTCAAGCCCAGACATCAGCTGCCTTTATTCCTGGAGACAAGTTCTTCATCCTCCCCAAGCTCCTTGTTCTCACCTCAATCTTCTGAGCCAGCAGTGAGGGTTTGAAGTTGGACTTAATGACCACCTTGACCTCCAGTTTGGTGCGTCCCACTTCCCGCACTAGCGGAATCACTCGGAAAGGAAGGATGATGTCCTTGGTGGTGCGATACCTTTGGGGATGGGGGGCAGAGTTGGCACCGCAGAGCTTGTCCCACTCCCTCTCCCCCCTTCTTTGCCAGCAGCACCCCCTGCCTCCTCCACACCCTCGTGGCACCTCATGAGCTCAAACTCTCCATCTGGTGGGATGAAGCTGATGCTGCGTTCAGAGTCAAACTTGCTGAGTCGCACACACTGGTGGAAGGTGCAGTCATCAATGGCAATTGATTGCTTACCGCTGCAAGCAGGGGAAGAAGAGGTCTATTGGTACAGGAGAGTGGCAGGTGTCAGTCTGGGAGACCAACCCATCCCAGGCTGACACCACAGACTTTGAAAAGCTGCCAGAATGCAGCTTTCTGATTCAGGGCTTCCTGCTGCAGAGTTCAGGACAAGTGAGAGCTTTACAAGCTCATCATTGCTTGAGAGCCCTGCTGCTTGGGACTCAGGTGTTGCAGGCACATTGGACAGAGGCCATCAGTAGGTACAGAAGAGGCCTCGGTTCTGGGGACCAAACAAAGGGATTTGCTCTCTGAGGACGGTAGGCTGAGGACAATC